AAAAAAAACCAACCTGTGGACAACTTGTATTTATGTATCAACAACATGGTGAGATGTGGCAAAGCTTTTTATTTTCTTTTAACTAATTCTTTGTGGCACAGGAGCTGCAAGCATGCTGGTGCAGCCTGTGACCAGCAGGGGGCCACCTCATCTCTCAATGGCTGCCTTCCAGTTAAAGCTGCACAGGATGCCCTCAGTTATTCACACTGTGGAGTGCTGCGGCTTAAAGTGGCCACATTAATTAGCAATAAACAAAACTACCAGAATTAAAGGGTTTATTCTAAAATACATAATCTACAGACAGAAGATGATGTGAATCCAACTTTGATCAGGCAGGAGCATGTGTTAGAGATGTCCATCAGGCCTCAGACTGATTGGCGACCTCCGGTGGCTAAATGTGAAAAACCTTCAAACCAGAAACTAAAAACATTTGCTGTCAAAGTAAAAACCGGGCCTTACTGATGCAACAATTTCTTTTCTGTTTTTTCCCTTCTGTCCTTTTTTACTTTTACTTTAAAGGGAACAGTTTCAGTTTCTGGTTAGTGGTGAACTTGGCAGTTTCACCAGCAGTGAGCAGTCTTCAATAGAAACTATAGACACAGAAGCCACCTGGAAGTATTCAAAGCAATTTCGAGGTTATCACTAGAACGCTGTATAAATCCCCTTTGTGACGAATTTCCACCTGGCAAACGCCAGAAAACACTCGTGAAATAGACATTTTTCCTCTAGCGACCGGAAGTTGCCAGGGAGACCCCTGACCGGTCTCTTGCCCTGCGTGGGTAGGATCTTAATCATCATCTCTGAAGCTTTTGTGCACCCTGTCCAGCTATTAACCACCAGGCAAGTGGCCTAACTTTACTCCCAAACATAACTTTTTGAGTAGAGCTGGTGTGAAATTATGTCTAAAAAGTACTTCTGGAAACACCAGGCAAACAGCCATATACAGCTCCATTACAACCGTCCACACCATGGACAGTGATGAGAAGATAAAGCAGAGTAAGATAACCAAGATGAGGGAACGTACTATCAGGACTCAGTCTGTTTATCCCAGGCATATCCTACACAGTATCAACGGGTGAATATATGGCAACGACAATCACTAGTTTGATCATAAGCTGGAGAAGTACCTTATCAGTCCAGCAGCGCGTTGCATTGCCATTGACAAGCACTTATAAAGGTGGGTCCCTAAAAAGGGACCAGCTACTAGAAGAACAAGAAAAACGAAAGGAGCAAGACCTGTCAAAAAGCATGCAACATTCATGACAAGGTGAAGCCTCGATGGCTCCAACAGCCATCACTTAACAGGAAGCTGTAATGAAAACTACAGGGGGCGAGGGGGGGGGCGACATCCTCAGACACAGGTATGGATTGACGACTGCAAAAGAAAAACACTACAATTAAGATGTCTCCCTCCACTTACATCCTAATCAGTCCATTTTATAAGGAGCTACATTATAAAACTATGTTAAGAGGCCTCAAGTCTTACCAAGTCATCGTATCATTGCTTAACATTATCATTATGCTTACCTCGGCAAGCCGTTAACAGTCCTAAAAATCACTTATCAAGACAAAACGCTAGGTTTCAAGTTCAGTATATTACTGTATGCCTTACATTAGAAATTCTAAATTTATTACAAAAGAGAGAGAGAGAGAAAAAAAGTGCATTTATACCAGTAAGAACCAATTCATTCTTGGTGATGTCTTATAGCTCTGTTTTGCAAATACTCTATTTAAAAAGAAAAAAAAGAAAAAAGAAAGCAGCAAATATGATTCTCAGCTTGCCTACAGTATTTAAACTCCTGTTGCAGTGTTGGTTTCTTCCCCAAACAAAAATGCGCACGGGTTGATTAAACCTGCCTATAATCTGCTCTTCGCACATGTGCGCGCTGCCTCCGTTTTAACTACATGGACACTGATTAGACAATATGCATGAAAAGGGAGGACAAAAGAACCACACACGTGACGGCTTTACGTTATGGCAAGCCTCCCCGTTCGGACGACGACTAGCGCGATAAATGGAGAAGGAAAAAAACAAAACGATACAAAAACAAAACCCATTTACTCTAACGTGCATCACTTAAGAGGTGATCGTATGCCATGCAATATTTTGGTACTGCGGTGGTAAAACCTTAAGAGGACAGATGTACTGCATCTCTTTGCCTCCGACAAGGGAAGGAAAATAGCTACAAGCCTGAAGATTTTCAGCAACCAAGGGAAGAGGAAGTAAACGTGAAACGGAGGGAGAGAGGAAAAGAAGAAAAAGACCCATGTGTATGCACACGAAATGCTTTGATGATTTTTGCAGTGAAAGGTGCAAAACAAACTGTGTGCACATTGTTACATAGTAAAAGCGCCTGTTTTTATTATTTAGCCTCTGGCACGAGCCTGTTTAAACACCTGTGTGGGGTATTTGGGACTGTGGCACCCTATGCTGTTTCAGATAATTCCTTTTTGTTTTGTTTTTAAAAGTGTACCTATCTGCCACCCCCCCTCCCCTCCCAGCCGTCATCTATGTCAGACTAATTTAAAAATAAAAAATAAAAAAGAGGAAAAAAAAAAAATATCGAGGAGGGGGGGAGGTCGAACTTGGCCTCCGTTTTGCCCTCACCTACCTAGAATCCCTGCGGTGCTGTTGGCGAAAAGTCACTTTTGAGCATTTTGGATTTAGTGAGGCGTTTTATCCGAGAGGTATGTGTATATCCCCAGTTTACCCTCCCCACACCCACCACCCTCCTCCCACCCTCCCTCAGAGAGACAAACAGGGCAACGGGGGAGGGGAAATGGAGGCTATCCGCAGAGTGGAGGGTCAAGGCCAGTCACGTCCCTCCAGCTCTAGTTTCTCCCCACGTTCTGGGCAGTGCAATGAGTTCCCCTGTTACCCTCCCCTTCATTAACCTGGGGGACAAGCAAACACAAGAACAGAGGAGACACTTTTAAACCACATCGTGTGAACAGATGCATGCAGAGCTGATAATGAAGCGGTTAAAGTGCGATTCTGGATCAGAAAAAATGATTTGGGAACAAAATGTATCATTGTTTATCAATGAGCTGGGTGTTTCATCACTTCCAGAGGAGGGCTGAGGGGTATTTCATTTGGGTGACATCATTTGGTGAACATACCTAACAGGTCAGTGTCCTGCGTGGACCAAAGGGGTGGCCGGGTTAGACGCCGTAGCAGGCTGACAGGCGCTCCTTCAACAGAGGAGGGAACTGCTCAGAGAACTGCTGCCAGTTCTCCTCTCCGACCTGGTCCTTGAAGCCATGCAGGATCTTGGAAAAACAAATGAGACTTGATAAATTCTGCAGCAGGCGTTCAAATCTGAAGGTCAGACTTTGTGGGCCAAGTCTTTCGCAGGCTGATAGCAGACTGTCTTATGGCAACCTTAATGGTAGATTTTCTCACTGGGTTGCTGTGCTTGACAATCTCAGTTTGCAGCAACTGAAGCGAGATAACTTGATAAATCATAACGTGTTGTTGACATATTCAAACAGACTGGAAAATGTTAAAAGTCACCATAATATATGGAGGGGTGTCTGTTCACTGCAACATCAGTTTATGGTCTCAGTTGCTGGCTTCATGTGTTATTCAATACACAACACACTTGTTCTGACTGTAAAGACACTAAAGAGATAGCTGTTCAGTTTTTTAAGCTAAAATAGCTTTGACATTTATATCACAAATAAACCAGCTAGTTAGCACTAGCTCTTTAGCTCCTCCTTACCGTCCAAATAAAGTCACGGACAGCATAACAACCACACGACGACAATCAAAATTAAAGGCAAAGTTTCATAATGGCAACCCACAAATTAATGTGTAACCTTAAAGTGGCATCATCCATTTTCAATATACAGTTTTTGTACATCTAGCTATGACCTTGCAACTGCAGCTGCATCTTGGGCCGAGCACCTAAAACTAATTTAAAGACCCCTCCACGATCTGGATTGCTCAAAGTAGAGGCCTAATGTTTTAAGCTTTAGCAAGAGGGGTTTCTAAGGCTACCATGGGTATTAAATGCACCCAGAATTGATTAGTATTGATTATTATTATATTATAGTACTCATTATTGACTGATCAGCTTGACTTAGTGATGTACCACACTTCTCAGACTTCAAAGCCATCTGCACCATGCCGTCAGATTTCCGATGTCTGATTAATGATCATCATAGGTCGGTGACCCAAAACTACACAAGAGGGAACGTTTTAATCACAAACGCTGGTCCATCCTGCAGACTGTCACAGAAATATGATTTTTGATGAAGTATTTACCTTATAAAACATGTCCCTCAGGTCGTCCTTCGGGTTCACCCATGAGGCCACAGCATCACAGAAGAAAATAAAGTCCTGAACACAGAAGACTTGTTAACTCAGCACTTGCCAAAGTAGACCTCCCCTACTTCTCTAACCCCTTTAAAGCAATATCACCTTACCTGCACCACTCCTGCAGGGTTCACGCCGATCATCACACAGATTCCCCGGAAAGCAGAGTCCTTCTCCTCATTATCTCTTATATTCCTCAACGACGTGCACCTGTGAACAGGAGCAATGTGGCGACAGAAGAATGAGTTCAACTTGGGTTTTTTTTGTTTGTTTTACAGCAGCTCCACTTTGAGCAATTTTTCAACTATTTTCAACTATTTTTAGTTTTTCATCTTTTTAAACTAACAAGTTAAAGAGTTTTTACTCATGCTGTGAAAGTAGAACGTGAAAAAAAAAAATCAATCATATATGGTAATATCCATACTGGGACTCACCATGGCCTAATGAAATGCTGCAGCTGTGGCGCCACTTCCTGAGGACACACGAAACCCAGCCTGCCGATCGTAATGGCTGCATAGAGAGACATAAAAGAAGCCGCTAAGTCTTCAATATCAGAATCAAATTTAAGAGACACACTTATCCACTTATCATCATTCTGTAGCTGATTGTTTACCTGTGTTTTCCAACAGAGTCTTGGGAGTGTTGGGTCTATTGATGATCTCCACCAGGTGTGGCAGCACCATACCCCCATACGGCTGCATTTCTGCACCTGGAGAGACACAAAGAAGAGAAGGAGGCAGTGAGCATCCTGCAGTGTGGATACAACATGGTAACGTCTCTAAGTGTGTTAAAGCCAGGAATTCATTGCCAATCAGGCACAAGACAGAATCGGACCTGCTTCAATCGAATAAAAAGGAACACGTGAAAAACCTAAAGCTGAAATATCAAAAATACCCAACACTGATTTAACTTTCTTCAGGGCTTCATTGGTCATAAGTTACTGAGAAGAGCTTTCAGGTCCTTAAAAAAAAAAAAAAGAAAGAAAGAAAAGGGAGTGTCTGAACACTTATCAGCAATAAAACCATTTGCAGTTACCAAGCCCTTAAAACCTAAACAAGCCTTGGTGTCGTCTCTTATTAAATTCAATAGAAAAACTAGTTTCTTACTAAACTATTAAATAAGATTTGTGAATAGTAAAAATCCATTTTGAGAATCAGGTTCTGAACACGTCTTTGATTCAAGTTTGTCTCAGCCAAAATATGTCGCCCACACTGAGGCAGAGTTTACAATTCCTGAACGTACGAGCTCAGACTGCACAGGCCTGCATGCAACATGTACTGTGAATGATCTGGATCAGAAAACATTATGGGAACAAAATGTATCACTTTGTGTCAATGAGCTGGGTGTTTCATCATATCCAGATACTGGGGGGTGGGGGACGACAGGAAAACCATCCACAGTAAGATCTGTTACTTACCCATTTGCATGGAGATCTCCCCTATGGCCCAGGTGGCGTTGTTACACACGGAGATAAACTCTGGGTTCAGGTTGAGCCCAAGGATGGGCATGAACTCAGCTGGAGAAGAGAAATGGACACTAGTTACAACAATGATTCACAAACACACAGCTGGATATTCATTTCAGCCTCCTATTTTTTACAGCTCATCATTAAAGACATGAGCTCATGAGTGGCTACAACAATCACTAAATCTGGGTGTTCCCTGGTAATAAAATGAGAGGGCAGCTAGTAAATCAGTCAAAATGTGACAAAGTTGCTCTGATAACGCACGCTCACCAATACAGGGCTTCACGTGGAGGAAGCATGCCTTTGTTAGATCGCCCAGGAGAGCAAAGGAGCTCTGCCTCACCTCGGGCATGGTATCCTGCAGCAGAACCACATAACTTGGTGTTACACAGGGATCACAGAAAACTCAGGGGGAGAAAAAACCCAAAAAAACCAAAACAGAAAAACTAGTTTTTGCATGTAGAAAAATAAAGAGAACTTCCATCACACCTGCATGCACTGGAAAAGCAGGGTCATGATGTTAGAGCGAGCCACAAGCTGTTCCACGTGTCCTCCCAGACCTTCAGCCAGGCCGCTCAGCAGATCCAAGGCCACAATCATGAAATCCTTGTCAGGAGCTTCATACTGGTCTGGATGCTGGTTGTACATCTATGTAGACAGAAAGAAAAATGTGAATTTTTAAGCACCAGTTCAAGATTTAAACAGACTCCACCACATTTATTCTATTCATGCTTGCTCTCTCACCATAGCCTGAGCAAGTGTCTTCTGGACTAATGTGACACAGCGCTGATAGACGGGCTCGCAGTAGGGCAGAAACCCACTTTGCAGGGCGGTGGCTACTGACGACAGACACTGAAAGACATCCGGACAGCACAGTTTTGTTTGGGTTTTCTTCTCCTTCCTCTAAATGACGTAAAGCATTTTTTCTTCGACATACTTGGACATGTCAAACAGAAAACAGGATAAACCCTGTTTCTAAGCAGCGCTAAATTTACTCACCTCCAGCAGAGGGAAGAGATCCTTGTCTTCGTCCTTCAGCTCGTTCCACTTTGCAATAAGAGGGGGCATCAGCTTCTGAATGTACTCCTGAAAAAGCAACACAGTGGTAACAGCTCAGGCTTTCTGCAACAAATCAATGATTCCCTGTTATTAGTCTCCTCCCAAAGCTAAGCAACCCGATCGACTTGAGTAAATTCAAGACAAATATACAAGATCCAAATCTCAAACTCACAGGCTGATTGAGATGGTGACCCACTGAATCTGCCAGAGTTCCTATGGCATCATACAGGATGAGCAGATTCTTGTGCTGGTACTTCCCGAAAGCAAAGACCAGAGTGTCCAGAATGTAACTCAGATATGGCACCAGCTCTGTGCATGCCTCTTCCTCCAAGGTCGCAAATGCACTGAGAAAAAAAACAAGATGATGAAGGTCAATGCTGAATCTACACACACAGTCTTGTGGTCCAGGAATACCACAAGCAGGATGTGGATCAGAGTACAATATGGGAACAAAGTGTATCATTGTAAGTCAATGAGCTGGGATTTTCATCACGTCCACGTTAGAAGGGAACAACGATTGCAGCGTGGCTCACCTGCAGGCGGCTTCCTGCACCTTCTTGTTGCTGTCCAGGATGCGTTTCAGGAGCTCCGTCATGAGCGGTTTGAGATATGAGTCGGGGGGCTGGGAAACCACCCAGTGTGCATAGCGACTCAAGGTCCAGCAGGCAATGGAGCGGACCAGGGCCTTTTTGTCACACAGACACTGGATGAGGTGAGGGATGAGCTCCGGCAGGTAGGGCACCATGCCCTGCATGCAGCCTAAGCACAGAGTGAAAGCACGAGTGAGAACGACACCAGACCTTCTGCAGTCAGCAGAGCAAATCTACTGATCCTAATAATCATTCGCCAGCAGTATGTGGCATAATGCAGCTCTTCCCTGTGAAATTCTGTCTCACACCAATGTGTACTTGCGATGTGCATCAATTTAGGCGTTATATCACGAGAAGACTGCACAGCTTATTTGCTTCAGAGGAGACGATACAAATGTAGGTTTCTCTGCTTTATGCCTCTTAACCAACACTCAGACTTCAGATCTCACTGCATACATGAAACAGAAGCAACTCAGTTCTGTTTTAGTACAAATCTACTACGTCACTTGTTGTAAACAGAAACCTCAATCGCAAGCTTAACTGATGCTTGCTTAATCCATCGCGCCCACTGCGCTCCACACTACTGAGGATCAGAGCTTAACTCATACTTATTCAACCTTGCTGCAATAAAGAACGCTTGAGGAGCTCATTCCTACAAACTCTGTGAAACTAAACACTTCTTTCTGTGACAGGTTCATTCTGACTCTCTTGCCAATCTGGGCAGTCATTAATCCATCTGCAAATCACTCTTTATTCATGCAAAGTTAAAAAAATTAGGCTGAACAGTTTGTAAGATTGCATTTGCATTCCCTCTTTTGCTCATGAAACAGACCATTTACCTGCATGCAAAGCCCGACAAAACATGATTGGTTATTATAAGTCAGACATTCCAACACAGACATCACTTTATACAGATTACTTTTGACAGATGTGGTTCTGCATAAGGTTGGCGACCTAATTAGGCACCGTTGAGGGAATTCTAGGTATCAGTTGAAATGGGAAAGTACCAAATCCCAGTTCTGCATCCAAAAGATTCGAGAAGTCCCCTCTCTACGTTTCTGCCTCTTTCCCAATTGAGAAATATGAAGACTGCTTTAGCAATTTCAGAAAGAACAGTTTGACACAAATTACTTTTCCAATCAGGATTCACCACATCCGCAGATAATGCCAGTAACTTTGAATAAAGCATAGACGGCACTGTGGGGGTGATTTCTTAATCAAATCAGGTGTCCTGGTGATACCAACCCTGTGCTAATGAGGCATGACATTAGAAATCTATAATGTGTCCTTCAGAACACCAAGTGAATGTCTGCATGAACATGCAGACAGGCTTTTTGCACACTGCATATAATAAGGTTAAACCTCATTACTAGATCTCAACTAGGGACAGATAACCATCTATGCATAACTGGAAACATTTCAGGAAGGTGTAGCTCGGGTTTTTGCAGCTCTGACCACTAACCAGAAAATCTGTAGATTGCATGAAAAATGCGTGTCCTTTCATCTTACCCTCAGCTATGGCCCCCAACACCAGGATACCAGACTCCTTGATCACCCAGTCAAGGTGAAAGAGCAGGCCTTTCAGGAGAGGCAGGAGGTGGGGTAGCAACTCGTCACGGAACACGTTGGCCAGCACGTCCAGTGCTGCTGCAGAACATTTCCCTACATGAGAAAGAAAAGTTTGGTTACAACCCGACACCTAACCTGCCGTTTCTCTTATATCACCTGAAACTACAGCAGGTTTAACTTTTCTAAAAACTCACTGCATGTACTTCCTGAATGACATCCACATGTCCACTCACAGCTTAAAAGGTAATAGATCTGTGCTACATTTGGGAAGGGGCCAGTTGGCATATTAATACCTGATATACAACATAAATGGAAACCAAAGTACAACCGGTCAAGTCACTACACTCACATTCTGGCAAATAATGTGTTTCTCCACCACTTACGCAGATTCCAGTCAGACAGCGTGTCGTCATCGTCGTCGTCGTCTTCCTCGATGTCCTCCCCCTCCTCCCCCTCGCCTCCTTCATGCTGCAAAGTGACCGTGCGCGACTTGTGGAAACGGGGTTTGATGTCCTGCTCGCTGTCTGGTACCGCCTCGTCCTCCTCCACGTCACCCTGGGGGAACGGTCAAAAAGCCGATTGATGGCAAAGAAGTACAGCTGGGTATCCCAAGCATTCAAATACCTACGATAGCACTCACCTTCAGTAGTATGATGTCTATCTCAGAATACTTCATCCCATTTACCAAGATAGGGATCAGTCTATATTAAACAAGTGAGACAAAAGAGAATATCCTTGATCAAAAAAACACAGATGGAAATTCACACTAATAATAGACACATACTAACAATATTTAACAAGCTACTCACTGCACTAGGTGTCCGGAGAGCACCTCTTTACAGATGGGTTGCTCTGCTAGAGTCAGCCAAAACTCGCAGGCCTCCAGAGCCACGTTCTCGTCAGGGTCCTGGGTTCGCTGCAGCATGTACTGAAAAGCAGATGTTTGAGAATGGGAATGTGTGATCAGGTGAGTGGGAAGGGAGGAAAAAAAACAAAAACCAGCCTAAGAAGAAACTTGAGAGAAATCTGGATCAGAAACATTAGGAACTTGAGGTATCATCGTGCTTCAATGAGCTGGGTTTCTCATCACATCCAGATGGGCTCCAAGTTCCACGTATTTACACGAAAATGTGGCGTACGTGTCCTTTTACTTCCACTGTGTGCTCCACAGCTGGTTATCTGGTTGTCCTAACACTCACCTGGATGATGCTGTGCATGTGGGGGATGAGGCGGTCGATGCGGACCTCCAGTAGCATGACCAGGGCTCGGCATACATTCTTCCTGACCTCAGAGTCCTCATCTGCTGCCAGCGCAAACAGGCTCTAACAAAGGAGAAGAGGAGCAAAAAGAAATGAGTGTGAAGTAGGCACAAAACTAACACAGCAGCCTGATACCGAAGCACACACAAGCCCACCTCTATGAAAGTGTCAATGTTGTCCATCAGGGCTTGGGCTCGGCCGATGATGAACTGGTTCACGCAGGCTATGGCATGGGATCTGCAGAGCAACAACAGCAATGATCAGACATTGTAGTGATGAAGAAACTGGTTCAAATGAAAATGCCTCAGATAAGAACCTTGTATAACTTACATGTGCCTTTCATTTAAACAGAAAACACCGGAAGGCTATAGGTCTACATAACGTAAAACAATAAATCTGCTAATAAATAAAGGAGTTATGAAAAGATCTGATCAGATAAGCACATTAAAACTCGCTTACATGCTCACAATGGTTCCTACCGTAGTATAAATATTGTAATGAGGAAGAAAACTAACCATATACAGTCAGGCAAATGTTAGCATAAATCACACCCAGATTCTCTCTTTCTTGTACCTAATCTTGGGGCTGCAGTGCTTGAAGAACTGAAGGAATTTGGGTATCATTATGTTGAGGGGTCTGTTCAGAGCGTCGCTGTCCAGCAGCTCCGATGAATCCTCGCAGATCTTCTGCAGTGCGCCAAATGAGCCCTGAGACACGGACATACACAGAGAAGCTGTCAAATCAAACGCAAACGTACAGGGACACAGAGGAGAGAACGAAGACCGCATCAGACAACAAGACCGGAGCAAACAAGTTCTGAATGCACTGCAAAGACTCTGCCTATCAGCTGAGAACATCTTTTTCATGTCAAGCACATGTGCGACTATGAAATCGTCATCATAAAAGGAACGACTGGAGATATTAGCTGCTCCAACACAGATATTACAACTAATCCTGCCTGATTTTCATCTGTTTTATTATTATTACTACTACTATCACGACATCTACTGCTCCATTTCAAAGTCCATGCAGAGCTATATCTGGTTCTTCTCAGGAATCATTTGCAAACTATGACTTTCCAGTTAGCCTTGTTGTGGCTGTCTGTGTGGGATGAATTCAAACTTATGTCTACTTCAAGGATACGCGCCTCATTCAATTGTCAGATACTTAAACCAGAGCAACTATCTAAATGAGTCAAATGCCAAACAGGAAGTGCAGACCTCGCACGTGTTGTAGTCCTCTGAGTTGAGCAAGTTGCAGAGCTGAGGCAGCAGCTCGGGCCATGTTTGCAGCTCTCCTTTGGAGGCAATAGTTGTGATCAGGATGCCTACAGGAGAAAACGCAGTTCAGGTCAGTTGTTCACCACTGACAAAGACCGCAACCTTTGGCCTATGCAGAAGCTCTGGATCAGACAGTATGAATACAAACACCTTCACAGACACTCAGATGGATTTTATGCATCATTTCCAGAGAATAACATAAGGACACACAGGGATTAAACTGGTTACTCTGTGTGTAAATAGATGGTATATAAAGTTATAAAACCAACACAACCAATAAACTCACCAATGGTGGCACGGATGAGCGGCGAGGGATCGCCGATGTTGTTGAGGCATTCCTGCTTGATGAAGTCAGCAACGGCTGATGGGAAGTTCTGGTAGTGGGCTTTGACATTGTTCTTCAGTATCAGACCACTCAGAGAGCGAGTCGGCTCATCTGAGAAGAAGAGAGGGCAGTTAGAGACCAAGATGCCAAGCCATCAGCGTGAATTTGGAGTCTGATCACTACATCAAAGTGCACAACGTTTTCCACTACTCAATCCTGAGGACGTGTAATCCAACTCTTCATCTTACTTTAAAATCTGTGTGCCCTTCATTGTGGAATTCAGAGCAATCACTCTTAGTCAAAGTGAACGCAACAGTTTTTCTCAGTCTATTTCATATATAAACTCTTGCAAAGGTGGATATTCATATTCAAACTAGCTCCAAGTTTCAAATCATTAGATCAGCCAATCGAAAGGTATTCCCTGTGGGCCAAAAGACAGGCTTCAGGCTGCTCTAAGCACTCAGATCTCAGAGGTTTTTCCTACTCTTGGCACTCGCTCATGCCAGGAACAATATTATTTATACACACTCTGAACACAGAAGCACCACTCACCTATTATTATTATTATTATTCAGACCTTCTGATTGTGAGGGACAGCCAATCAGAAGAAAGTCCGCTCAAAGAGAGCAGACTTACTCTGAAGGGAAAGGGATGAATGCAGAGCTGCTGCAAAGCCAGATGTAAAATCGATAAGGATTCATTTGAACCTTGAAGAGTTCAGGGCTGCTCTGGTAGAGGCATGAACAAATTCCTAAATTTTTTACCAAATATAACAAATCTATATCCCTAAACTAAGACATGTTGTATCCAAAGCAACGGTGACAGCACGGTTCAATATACTTGTCCTGTTACATTTATTGGTATATGTTTAAGTGCTACGTTGATTAAGCAATTGATGCGTCACTGCTGTCAGTCTGTGAGAAGAGTACAAGTGGCACAATTCATTTTTTTGCCCCCTCACACTGTATAAACATGTATGCAAGGCCTCTGCTGGGAATGAGGCTCCAACACAATAAGTAACATTCAGTGCATCCAGCTATTACGTGCAACAGGAAGCACTAAATTCTCACCATAATGGATCAATGATCTGAGGGACATAAGACGCACGTGCCAGACTACTCACCTTCAGTTTTGAGTCGTGTAAGGACAAAGATGAGATAGTTGTTAAAGTCAGGGAACTGGTTGAGTTGTTCGAGTTTCTGAAGTGGCAGTTAAGGATCATTTCACTTTCAAATCACCCTTTCAGTCTGAGCCAAACAAAGCTCAGACTGAAAGGGCTTCTTATAGATTACTCATTTATGTTAATCGCACAGATGTGATGTGACATTTCTTCCATCATGTATTTTTGGTCAAAAATATACTGTAAGTGAAGAAAAGTAGACAGTATAGATGCACTTAGTCCTTAAAGATGACTGAGGTGTCATGTCACAGTTGCTACCTCGCCTTTGCTCTCGCAGCTCCTACAAAATCCTCAAACACTTTCATTGTTATACTACATTAAAAGCAATAAAGGATCAAAATTTAATTAAATACCATTAACCAGTTTTATTATGCACACTCAGAACAGACTGAAGTAGGATACTTGTTGGACAGCTCTCTGTGTGACTGTGTTAGGTGACTGGGAGTCTTTGAGCAGCTGTAGGACCTGCTGAAGTCCCTGCTCATCTGGCTGCCACTCCATCCTGACACACACACACACACATACACACACACAAATTAATCCACATTTCTCTTTAAATTCAAAGGAAAATATTAAGAAACACGTAAGCAGGTGAGGTCTCTGGATCAGACAGTATGAATACAAACACCATCAGCAACAGGTCAGATGTTTTTTAATGCATCATTTCCAGTCGACATGCACGTATATAGTTGATATAGGCAAAAAAGAAGGATGCCTGTACATAGAAGAACAAATCTTCACACAGGAGTAATGCAATGGACCTGAAACTACCACAGGATGCCAATCACGTTGTACATTTCATCAGATGGTCTTCTGCTGGGCTTTTATCCAATCAATCACTACTTAAAACAAGATACCTCTGCTTAATGACATGCAAAGTTATTGGAACCCAGTGAGGGTTTACTGTAGTTACTTAATGCATGCATGCACGAAACAGCTGAAGGAGAAAAGATCAGTTCTAAAACAAAACTGCGCAGGTGTCGGTTGGGAGCTCTCTGGCCGCCTTCATAGTGGGTTAAAGGGTGAAACGACCCGGCGGCACCGGGACTGGTCACCCCCCGTCAAACACCTAAAACCCTAATTGCAGCATGCGGCACAAAAACGAGGACATCAGACAACAAGACCAGCTAAAATCTCTGTGACCCGGCTTAACTGCTCCAAGTTAATCCTACCCCCATCCCCACCCCCACCCCACCCGGTCCTCCGGTCTGAGTTGCGGAACCGCGTTGCGCTTCGATATATATTTTTTTCGCTCGAATTTCAACGCAATGCCGTAACACGTGGGCCCGAGCCGCGCGGTTAGCCCGTTTTGGGAGGTAGAGGGTCACACTCACTCAGCTGTGGCTGGTCAGAGTGAAGAGGGGAAAAAAAGTTCTCAGGAAATGAGTTAGCAACGAAGCAACGATCGCCATGTCCGGCTCCAGGCTCATAATCATGTGGTTTACCTTTACAACATTTAGCTTTACTGGCTAGTTTTCTCCAATTATAAAATCCATTATCGATTAGCTTGTAGATTGTTTGCGCTATGGACAGCTGACCCCACTAATACCCAACCTGCCCTTCTTGCTAGGGCCTGGTCGACAGGGCAGTTCCCGGCTGGAGGCTCACAATGTGGTCGGCATGAAAACAAGAAAATTCTGCCGTTAGCTATCCAAAGAAAGGGCCGAGCTGAGCAATTATTTTGCAGAACAATAACAGCCATGCGGTCGTTTTAAACATAGCGGTTAAACATACGGATGTCAATCAGTATTGGGTAATAAGTAGGTGAACACGCTTTGTAAGTAGGCGCTAGCCGCTAAATCGTCAGGCATCGGAGTTCGACTCACTCTGCTAATGCTAATACTGCTAGCAAGGCTAATGCTATTTAACTGAAACTTGCTTTGATTTTGTAAAACGCCTTACCCGATGAGTAGGAGTGATCGAGGTATTAAGAATTCGTTGTTAAAGTGCAACCCTATTAGGAGTGTACGTACAATATTAACTTGAAAGTTGAATAATCAGTACTGGGCCGCTCTTCTCTTCTTCTTCGTAGCGGTTCCTCTTGTTCAAATGAGCACGCCGATTGAAATTGACCCTTGGCGGCTTCCGTCACACATTTGACTGACTACGCGAGATTTGTCGTAGACTGAAAGGCAACTAGTTTTACTATCCATATTTGGTTAAACATAAATAAAAAAAAATACATTATTATACAAATACAATAACAATATATAATACTATAATTAAATACTACCGCCAACAAAAAATAAGCATTTTGTTTTAAATAAACGTTGTATGCACGCAAGTTGTTTTTTTTTAACTAAAAATGGAATTAAAGACGACCTAAAAGATGGATTGTGCATTAATTAGGAGTTAAATGTAGAAATAAATGTAGTATAAATGTAGTTAACTGCACAGAAGTTCGTTTTTTTCTTTCCTTTAGGCGTCAGCACAGCAGAACATCTGCCACTATCTCACTGTGTTCCAAGCTCCCTGTCACACCAACCCTCTGCATTTCCTCCGTCACTACATTCACAGATCTTTTCTGTGGTCACCTTCTTTGCCAGATCCATCTTCAACACTATCCTTCCTCTGTAAATGTCCAAAAAATCTTAGCCTTGTGCCTCTAACTTTGTCTCCAGTGCTGTCCCTCTAATCTTGTCCATCTTCACTTATTTTGTTGTTGCTACCATCTCCAAACAATACATGATAGCAGGTTACTACCATCTTGTAAACCTTCTCTTTCGCTGCTATCCTTCTGTCATAAAGCATCCCTGACACTCCTCTCCACCCAACTCTGATCTTAAAACTCAAAACTTAAATCAATCAATCAATCTATCTATCTATCTATCTATCTATCTATCTATCTATCTATCTATCTATCTATCTATCTATCTATCTATCTATCTATCTATCTATCTATCTATCTATCACAACCAACTTAACCATGTGTTACAATTATGGCCTTTTGGGTTTTGTTATTAAGTGTAATCTCTAATCATTACACCTAAATTGTGTGTTACACCATATTCCTCCAGCATGGTGTTGCTTAAACAGTCAATATTAGTAATTTAAATCAAATGTGATGGCTGTACATGTATTTGACAGACATTTTATTTATCAAAATATAAAGTATATTGTACAACAATGTAAAAAACTAAGAAAGATGTTAATATTTCCAACACACTCAAAATCATTTAAAAATCAAATTCAAAGGATTGTCATTTACCCCACAACCCAGATTGGATTGGAATAGAGTGGATGGATGGCATTTACAGAACATATGTGTGAGTAAATAGCAACAAATTCAGACTCTTTTTCCAGTGACTTCATACAGGTCATGGATATGATAAAATTAGATTCAGTGTTACCTAAAGACGCTTTATGTGAAAAAACAAACAAACATCTGTTTAAAGCACAGTTTTATAATTGTACAGATAACTTTTATTTTTATTGAGTTTCCTGAGATACTTTATAATACCATAAAGTGTTTTAGCAGGTGGTGTCAGTATAATTTGTCACTCTGTGCACTTTGATTAGGGTTAATATGCAGATTCGAAATAAATTGTAAACTACTGCACATCCTGCAAATGTTTCGACTCTTAAAAATACTGCTGTTGGTGTTGTCATAGTCAGGCTCAATGCTGGGCAAAATGTGGGATGCAGAGCGAGTCGACTTTAACTGAAATAGAAAAAGTAGCCAAAAAATAAACAATAAACATGATATGATTAGATGGAACAAACTAATGCAAAAGCTGAAAACTGTGACAGAGAGAGACATAAAATCAGCTTCAGCAGACAAATCTTTCCAGTGACCCAAATGCTCTGCAGGCATCTCAAGAAAAGGGCTATCCAGAGGTTTCCCATCTTAAACAATCGTATATTAAACAAACAAACAAACAATGTGCCAGATGAGGTGTGGCGATATAGCCGATGTTAGAGTACTTCCAAAGGAGAGGGCATGAAGTGTTTCTCATAGCCGGATGTAAACTGTTCTTCCTCTGATGAGCTACAGAAATCCCCTGTCTCCTCATAGGGATCATCCATTTTGTTGTACACCTCTCTTCCACCCTCCCTCTGATCATCTGGGCTCTCCATCTCTGAGGACTCATCTCCCGCCACTGGCCCTGTTAATCCCTCAGAGTTCTTGGGCTGTGTCTCACTGACGGGAATGCAGATAAAGTCCAAGGACTCATTAAACTACAGAGAGAGAGAAAAAAGGATTTGAATAAATAAGGGAGCCTTTAGTTGCAAAGTGTATATAAGACTGGCAGAATTATGACATCATAGTGGAATAAAAAACCAAAACTAAACATGATATGGTCATATACTAATGCAAAAGCTGCAAATCATGACAGAGTTAGACTACAGGCCATTACAAACCAAGCACACAAAATTCTGAATTTTTGTGATCTGAACTTGTCATCTAATGTATACAAACACCAAAAGTGATGCATTTTGGGAGAAAATCTGCCCTCAAAAAGCACACAGTGAAAAAAATGAAGTTGACATCAAGCGATGATGAGCTGGTCAGGATGTTTCTAAACTAGAAAAGTAAGAAACTGAGATCCTGGGTCCACCCAATTCTCACGAGAAGGAAGCAGCAGAGAGAATTTCCTGGTTTAATCCAGGACTTGAAGCTGTATCACAGCTGCTTGATGAGACAGAGTAC